GTGTACAAGAAACAGACTTAAGTACAGAGCATTAGATAAAACCAGGGTCGCCAAGTATCACACATCACGCTTTTAAACTCTCACGCTCACGTAAGAAATCTTGCAACAAATCTATATGGTTGCATTATAAACCTAATATTAGCTGCATCAAAAGTGTTGGGGTAGATTGCAAACCCTGCAGATTATTTACAAGGCAATAAAAGTAGTAAATACATGTAAATGTGTGTGTCTTAATTTTAAAATCTCATTCCAGCCAGCTGACTAAAGTTGGCAACCCTGTAAAACTGGAACAGGAACCAGGACATAGGGACCAGAAAATGGGCCTGAAATACAAAAATAAGAAAACAGAGCCAGAATCACACTCTGGCCTTGCACCTTGACACAACAGCTGTTCAAATCCTGGCTCACTAACACCACAAATCTAGAAACAAGAAAAAAGCAAACATAAAAGCAAAGACAGTAAATCAAACAAAAACCCTGGCCTGAAACACAGATTCAAAAATAACCCAATAAATCCAGATAGCAAGACTCCACCCCTAAATGAATGCTGAGGCTTACATACAGAAAGTGTATGAAAACTTCAATTTTCTGAAGAAAACAACATATACCAGCATAGCATTCATCACATACTAGCTTAACTACTCCCTTTGTTGTACTTTTTAAGCTAGTTTTATTCTACAGCATTGGTGTAGTTTCGTAACCAGGCTAGACCTCTAGGATAGATAAAACCATGAAGAATGCAATAAGAAACGACAATGAAAAGGTCAAATTTTCATCAAGAAATCCATTCAAAGCTCAGTATTTCTTAAATTTACTTCTCTTTTCCATTTTCTTCCAAACCGTGCAAGGATGAGTGACATTTCATCATCAGGGGTTTGTGCCGAACAGTGCACATATGTAGCACAGATTTTTATGTCCAGCAGAAATCATGCACATCGACTGCGCATGTGCAAGGAAATTGACTAGATGTTTCCGGTAGGTGGCTTCCGGTAGGATTCAAACCAGCGACCTTCCAATTGCTATATTGGTATACTATATTACCTTAAAATACTACCCAAGGCTAGACTAACATCCATCCATCCACTTTCTGTAAGATTTATCACATTCAGTGTTATGGAGGGTCCAGAGCCTATCCCAGGGGCTATGCGCACAAGACTGGGAACAACCCAGTTTGGGACAGATTCACACACACATGTGTAACTAGGGACAGTTTTGGTAACTCGAATTAACCTCAGTATGTTTTTGGACTGTGGGGGAAAACTGGAGTACCAGGAGGAAACCCCACAATGACACGGAGAGAACATGCAAACCCCACACACATAGACCCAAAGATGACGACCTAATCCATATCAGGAGGGACACTACAAGCTATTTCAGGTTTTACAAACTACTTTAAAACAGAAAGGTTCCTGTGCTCGGCTGAATTGTTTGGTTTGTCGTGTACTTGTACTGGTTTGTTTCCTTGATTGAAAGACTCATCCAGCTGTGTCACATTAACATTAGTGGCTCATGCATGATTATAGGAGACTGACCAATCTGCACACAGCAACAACTTATTGCTTCAGTGAAATCTGGGTCCTTTTAATTGGAATGAATTAAATGGTAGTTTACAAACTTGTCGTAGCTCATAGTGTCCCTCCTGATATGGATTGGGTGGTCACCCATGGTGGACACTTGAATGCTAGTCCTAAAGGTGTGGCAATGGTGCTACCCACTGTGTCATCCCCTCTACACTTACAACTGTTCATAAAAATTTGACATATTTCACTACACTACTTGTATTTGCTGCAGAGCTGCCCTCTGCTGGTCTGATGGAATATTTCTACTTAATGCTTGCACTGTCCATAACATGCACCCATGGCCAAATGTATGGCTCATGATTTTTGTCCTATACTTTATGCTTGGCACTGGACCACAAAATATTCTGGTATGTTTGCACGTACTGGCAGTAAAGTGAGTTCTGATTCTGAAATGTACACTAGCGTCTGCGCACAACTGTGCATAGCCCGAAATTGCAGTTGGTAAAGTGAAGTATAAATTGGCCTTCATCTGGCACAGGCCTGCCAAAATTGTGCCAAGTGTGGCTTATGCATGGCAACAGGGGTGTCGGCAAAAGGAAGTGAAATGAACATGATGTCAAATTCCTAATTTACACAGTCCAATAGAGCATTTTAGCAGGAGTTCCCGGTACGTCACTGTTCTTTGCTTATCAAAGTTTAATTATTTCTACGATCTAATCGATAAAATTAAAAAAAAATCTGCCATAATTTAACCCATTAGTAATCTGCAGCCAGGGACATAGCTAGAAATTCTAAGCCAAAATTTTACCTTGGGGCCGCATGCTCATATAATTTTATATATTCAAGTGCTAGGTCCCCTGAATCTGTCATGGTATCCATGCCCCTAATGCAACCCTGCAACCACCTTAGGTCTTAGGACAAGAATTATGTTTATTAAATATATCTTTTACTGAATTTATTTATTTATTTATTTTTACTGAATCTTATTATTCGCCAAGTACAGAGAAGTACAAGGAATTTCTTTTGATGCAGGTGGTGTCATGACAGATCCCCATTTTTTCCCAATTTTTTGGAATCGGGGTGGCAAATCTGAAGAGTTTTACAGAATGATGTTGTGAGGGAGCAGGTTTATTTAGTGTCATCAAGTGACTGATTTGTATTGTTTTGTTGTGTCGTACCACCAGCAGCATGTGCATTCTGAAATAGCTCTGTCCCCTGTGAAAGATGAAAGAACCTGATGAGCAGGTGCTTTCAGCAGGGCATAGATACCATTTATAGCTACCCAAACACAGAGAATGCCAACCATAGTTTAGATAGCTGAGATCCTGTTCATTTCCCAGTGACACTCAGGAAGGAAGTATAAATTTAATTCTCTGCATACTTGTTTAGGGAGTGGTTGACCAATTCTTGACAGCAAACTCTATAAATTATTCTGAAGCAAGCTGAACGTTCATTTTTCTCCACATAGGAAAATTTACTGAGACGTATTAGTATGGTAAACTGATGAAAATGTTCCTTTACTGGCTTTTGATTTTTCTAATCAGGATCCTGTCAATTAGGAAGAATTAGGTATTTAACTGAGACAACAAGCCGGGCAACGCGGTATAGGTCGTATGCCGATACCGGCGTACCTGAGTGGGAGGTGAGATTCTCCAGGATTCTGTGACGCAACTTCGAAATTTGACAAATGGGGGAAAGAAACGAGTAGTTTCAATAGCAGCCAAAGCTATTCGAGAGTTGGCTACTCAACGGAAGGTAAGCATCAGTGAGATTTCTGTCGTAAGAACAGACGGTTTTTTATTTTTTTATTTCGTGTTTTGATGATAATACAATACGACTATTTGCACTTTGCTTTGGTTCGATGACCGCATTGACCGGTTCAGTGAATGCTTAATTAACATTTTCCAGTGATTATTGTAAGTCTGGCACACCAGCATTGCATGAAATTAATGGTGGCTTACCTGTTTTCCAATAAATATAGGTAGTCTAAAAAGTTTACAAGCAGATAGTTTAAAATGGTCTAGTTTTAAACCTTTTGCTTCTTAAACTTATTTGAATTACTTTTTTGCTTCAGAATCATTTCTTTTTCTTTTTTCTTAAATCAGTCTTTTTACTGTTAAATAGGTGAGGTTGGCGTTGAATGAATTCCAGAAAATAACTCGTTTCCTTCAGAAACGTTTGTTTTTCCTGTTATACAGGTACGCATTCTGGCCACCTACTGCCGAGTAAGAACAATGCTTAGTTGCATCGCTATCCAAAAAAGTGTTTTGCATAGTCATTACAGAATTGTGCAGCAAAGGAATTGCGATTTTATTGATCAGTCACCGGGCAAGGTGAACTCGGGTGTGCTTTACAGTTTTAAATGTTATCAAGCTTGATCACACCGCGTCATAGAGAAGCGGTGTGAGTTTGTTCCCCCACGAATTTTTGGGTGGAAGAAATGAAAGGCTGCGTTTCATTAAGTTGTTTCGAAGTACGACGATTGTAAATTACTATTTATGCTTGGGTATAATATGATTCTTTCAGTCATTTGCTTTTACTTCCCGTTTTATCACATCAGTGGAAATCTGGTTTCACCTGTCGGCATGTGCATTGGTTTATAGTTTAATATGTGGAAGTGTTTTATACGTACACGTTTATGTCTAGAAATCTTAATCCCTCCTTTTAGCAGGATGGCTGGAGATAACGAAAGCTATACGGTAAAGTTTATTCCCGTAATATCTCGAAGTAAGCTGTTTTGCTAACATTTCAATTTCCCTTTTCTCTGAAAATTCTATATTAAATAAAATACCTCGAAAGAGCCTGCTAAAGCAATGACTGTTATAAACCTGACAAGCAGGTTTATAACATTTTAACAATGTCATGCTTTGTTTGGAGGAGAGAAGTACTCTTTGGTACAAAGCCTAAGATTAAAACTGAAGGGATACAGGTAGGCCTATCGGTCGACTTGCGTTCGCATTTGGGACCGGGACCACCGGACGCAAGGCAGACCTGACCCGAAAGGTAATAGCCTATACAAATAATGTAAATATAACATCAAACTATTATAATTTTCGATGCACCCTTTAACGTCGTACTACATCAGCTTTCAGGCGTTTCGGTCATTTACCATGGATTAGTGTTGTGCGGGTCGCCTTTTTTTTTTTTTTTAAACACCTGCCCCAAACCGACCCGTCAGGAGATCCAAACCGCCCCGCCCAACCCGCAAAAATACGCGTGAATGACCCGACCCGAGGGAAAACTTAAAAAAAAAAACAAAAAAAACAGTGAGTCTGTATTGCCATGGAACCTACCAAAGAAGTGTCATTTGTGACACTGTAACCCATAGATGACATAGATTTGTGCTAGATTAGCATTGGACAGGGTTCCCCCAGTAATGGCAAAATAAATTTCCATGACTTTTCCAAAACTTTCAGTACCACAAGAAAACTTTCAAAAACCCACAAGTTTGTTTTGATTTGATGATCATGCAGTTTCACATAGTAATTGTCCTGCCCAGATCATCCGCTCCTTCCGTGTGCCACGCCCCCTCATTAACCTCGTGTTGGATTCCCGTGTGACCAGCTGTTTCTGGTTGTTGTCATTAGTTCTCTGTATTTAGTCCGCGTTTCAGTTTGTTTCCCCAGTCCGGTCATTGTAATATCACTGCATGTTTTCTTACCTGCCCCCCCCCACTTTTTTTTATTTATTAAAAAAAAAAACGTGTTCCCCGATTTCCTGACTGCCGCTCCTCTGTCTCCGCTCCGCGTCCCGCATACTGCACGACAGTAATACTACAATTTTCGGTACGATAGGCAATCAGTTTACCTAATAAACAAAGATGGTGGACAACTTTCGACAATGTGCAAATAGCGTTCAATTATTAAGAAAATTAATCCCAATTTTAAAATACGTTAATAGGCTATATGTACCTTATGATTGGTAGAGGCAAACGGAGTCAAAAACGGGAAGCTGTGATAAATTTTAAATATGTGCAAATAAATAAATAAAACCATAACTGGAATAGCGAGCAAAAAAATACGCGAAATCTGCGCGGAAACGGATGTTTACCAAGGTAGTTAACTATTGACTTCCACTTGTACATTTCTGTTAGCTCGTTGCGGAACGAAGCGGGAAACAAAAATGAACAAGGCTAGTTTCCATAACTCTTCCACTCCCATCAAATAATTCCAAAACTTATCCAGGGCCTGGAAAAAAATTATTTAAAAATTCCAAAACTTTTCCAGGTTTTCCATGACCGCGGGTACCCTAATTGAAGATGACAATTTTATGCAAGATTAACTGTGTACCAAGCAACAACAAAGAAACCGAAATATCGATTTTTACGTCGTTATTTATTGAAGGGTTGCGGAAAATTGCATGAAAGACATCTCTCTCGCACACCCACAAACACACACAAGCGCGCATGTATGCATGCAAAACACACTAGTTGTCAAAACTGTAACATCAGATCTGAGAACTCTATCAGATTTGAATGAACATCTTGTCCGACATCAACGTCAGAGGCGTGTTTCCGACGGTAAGTGACGCCCTTTTGTGACGTTTTCATCCGAGTTCCGACTTGGAGAGAAATAATCGAACACACCATTATCCTACAAATTTAAAAGTCCAAAATTGAAAAATTTCAACGACCCCGTTTACAGCACGTTTTGATTGATAATGAAATGCGTTTTGTAACCTTTTGACCCGCCGGCCTGCACCCACAATATTTTAAAAATGTCTGCCCTAAAACTGCCCGCACCTGCGGGTCACGGGTCGACCCGCGCATCACTACCATGGACGTTACTCAATAGGACGCAAGTAGATAGATACTTGTTTGTGAAAGCTGGCTGTTAGATTTAGAAAGTGGCTTAATGTAGAGTACCCACTGCGGTAAATGTGTGCAGGTTATATATAGGTGTATTTCTGAGGGCATCCCATTGATTTAAATTTTAATGTAGAAATGTGTTAACCACATTTTACATATCCAGGACTGCTTAGTCATTTCAAGTGTGCATTTTAAGAATTTTTAAAATATTGTAGCATTGTGCTTGTTGTTTCATAGTTTAGGCCTATTATTTTTTCTTAAAAAACTTTCCTTGAAAGTTTAGTCGAGACATTACCTGGGGAGGAGTAGCAGATGTACCTATGAAAAGCACATTTATGTAGCATGCTGTTCTATTCAAAGTGACTTAAAAGTGAGGCAGATAAAATATTTCAATATGATGATAACCAGATGTTGAGTTTATATATAAAGTTGAACACATTGAAATGGCATGAGGTGTCAGGGTTGCACCTGCAAGATGGATTTCAAGACCAGAGCAGCATGTTTTGACTGCAGAAAATGCAATAGAAGTTGGTTGTGCTTGTGTCCTTGTTTTGCATACAAATGTAACTGCTAACTTCTGTTCATAACAAATATAGCCTAATGGCAAGGTTAGTAGGCCTGTCACGATAATTGTTATGGAATAGTTGCACAATATATGGACACAACCTAGATATATTTTTCTGACCTCTATTGGTAAATTTACATAAGAATGAATGCCCCCAACATTTTGGTCAGTCACACTGCTTCTGCCCCCTCCTCAGCTCCCTGTATAGCAAACACTGCAACGCAGTGCCAAACCACAGTCCTGAATTGACAGTCCTCTTAATTAACGTTTATGAAGTGTGGTACGCAAGACAGGGTTATAATCGTTAACAAAAGCATTTCCATAAACCTAAATAAAAAAATAAAAAAATACAGCTAAATGACAATTGGAAATATTGGTTCCACAATCAACTGAGGGAAAATAGAAACAAACGTCAAGAACTTCTTGCTACCTTTTTAAAATACTGTATAGCTTAAGTAATGATTTGTCTTTTGGTTCTCTCCTACAATGAACTTGAACAATAGAAACAGCCAAATGCACTACATAGTGACATTTTGTAGGAACCCCACAACGTTTTCTATCTATAGAAATAAAATAACTATAATCTAAAGTAAAATATAACAACTAAATAGTTGCATCTTTAAACTGAACTACAACTAAAGCTGAACTAGATTTCAAATAAAAATAAAAACTTAAAAAAATCAATAGTAACAGTGACTCATAACACGTTTGTACTGCAACACCATATACCCATGTATTTTGAGTTTGTAGCCATGTGGCAGTCTTTAGGCGTAATTTTGTGTCGAGGAATCCTATAAATGCCATTATTTCTGGACTTTCTCAGTCAACCATTCTTCAAATCTATCCATTTTTATCATTCCTGAGCGAAGTCTCCGCAAAACTGGGTGCATGTATTATTGGCTGTAACGTAAAGAATGTGAAACTATACATAATGTGATTTTTGTAGGGATGCACCGATTGCAGTTTTCTTGGCCGATTCCGATTGCCGATTATTTTTTATTTTTTTTGGTATGTGCGATCAGCCGATACCGATTTTTGCCCTGAGAACAGCAAATGCATACAAAAATCACATTTTCTTCACCTCAACTTTTCACAACAAACTCTTATTAAACTTTACAAATCCAAATAAATTAAACTAATACAAACAAACCCCAACTACAACTAAACAATATATTCTTTAAAATAATAGGTGCAGCAAGTAAACGTGTGTGACATGACACTAGATTAAACAACTCCGGTAGCTCGACGTCCGAAAAGTAACGCCTACTCGGTATTTTGGGCTGAAGTAATTTACCAGATTTCTGAAGCCTCTATCCTCAACTACAGAAAACGGCTGGTCATCCAGTGCCATAATTTTCCTCGTAATTTTTTGCTTTCTTCACTGCTTATACCAACGAAAGAGAGCACAGACTGCTGGCTCTTAGATGGCTTCGAACATGCTTTGCTAGCAGTTTCGCTTTGCTAGCTTGTTCAAACTGAGCGACATGTTTTTAAATGTCTAATTAAATTTGTTGTGTTAAATGTCTTTGTGTGTACCCCACGGTGTACCTGGTCCTTACAATAGCTGCAGATAGCGAATTTTGCGTTCGCTTGGCTGACGCTGAAGAATTTCCAAATTACGGACATTTTTGCGTGTCTGAAAGTGCGCGCGACTGCGCATATGATTTATTGTGCATGCAAGACCGGTTTGTAATCGGAAATACGTGAGGCTGATAGGCCGATCACCTATCATGCTGAAAATCGGCCCATTCCGATCGATCGGTGCCCCCCTAGATTTTTGTTAACACAAGCAGAGTGTCCATCTTCTGTATGCAGGTTTGTCTCTACTTGGATTTGTTTTGTTTAAAATTTCTTGACATTCCAAAATAAATATCCTTTGTTAGAATATTCTTAATTAAAAGTTCGTTGTTTTGAAAGGCTGTACTTGCATTATTATGCTATTACACAAGCGGCATAAAATGATCTTAAAATGACACAAAAGCAGTAGTTATTATGACAGGCCTAAAGATTAGAAAAAAGTTTGGTAATTTAGCGTCTGTCGGTGGAGGGCTTCACATATCCAGGATTGTGGGTTTCCAACCTCCAGATCTATGTGAGGAGTTTGTATGTTCTCCATTTGTGCATCTTTATTCTGGGTTTCCTAACATGTCTAACATGCAATTAGGCTAATTAGCAGGGATGCACGTAACTGGTACAAGTACACATCTCACCGTAAAATGAGGTATACGAGTGGCAGTTCCTTGTCATAACTGGGCAAATGCATCCTTATTTTATGCATTTGTGCTGTTATGACAAATTACCACACATTGCTTTATATGGTATGTATACTTGCATACCAATTATGTGCATCCCTGCTAATTAGCATCTCTGAATTGCTCTTTGGGTACCAGTGTGTGTGGGTGACACATGCCCTATAATGCACTGGTATCCCATTCATGGTGTTCCCTGTTTTGAGTTATCGGGCTGGACTCCATGTTTTCCATGACCACCTATAGCATAGCTGTTATGGAAAATATGCAGGTGAATAGGTAAACGGTGTGTGTATATACAATGGTGCTTGGAGTGATGTAAAGGAACAGTGTTTTTATTCATTTTTTCCCCCTCTTTTATTTAAATGTTTTTAAGTGCATTACAATTTGAAGTTCATACACCTTTTTCCTATGTGTGCTTGCTGTATTGTACACAGAATTTAATTTTATTTTTTTGACATTCACACCTGGGCTGTCTCATGTACAGGAACACTGATATTAAACAGATGTAAAGATAAAGCTCCTTACTGAATCGGCAAACATTTTTGCATTGTATTTGTCAATGTTATTTCACTAATGATCAAGCATTTTAAATGTAAAATATATTTGTCAGTATAACCTGGCCTCTAATTAGTTACACATTGCTTAATGAACACTGGCCAAACACTACTTTTGAATGTCTAAGGTTTTGTCAGCTGAGAATGTTTTTGAAATTTCAAACATGGGTAGACTGGCAAAATATTCTAATCACACTTCACTGACTGAAGTGTTTTCCCTGATTTATAATTCTACATAAAAGAACCTATGAGGACAAAGCAGTAACAGCACATGGTAAAATGCATTTGATGAAATTTACTGTAGTTTGCTTTAAGTTGCGTGATAGAAATGCAAAGTCTTATCTTGCAGGCTACTGAAATGTAACATTACTAAAACTGACATTTAATATTGGAAAAATAGTAGTCACCAAGTACCTATCATCTTTTCATTTACTTGCTTTTCTTTGTATTTGTGATGCATCTCATGCTGTTAAGCCCAATGGAAATGCTGTACTATATGGTTAGGTGTAGATGTATACCTAAATGAGGACACTGCATGCTTAAATCAATTTTTGGCTTAAATCAATTTTGGGCTGCCATCACATCCTGGGAGTCCCTTCCCTTATGTGCCATTGTCTGGGATGGGCCCTTAGATAAGTGATGTGGATGGATGCTTTGAATAAGTTTCTGCAGAAAGATGCCAGAAGTTACCTTGGGACCTGGCAGCAAAAACTCAAGTTCAGAATTTGACTAGTGCACCACAGGGCAAGCCATGCGTACAATATGTTAAGTATCTTAAATTAGTGTCTGTGAAAGTTGGTGTAATCTTTATTCCATTGTAACTGTTGGTCATATTTTTGTCATAACTGGTGCATTACATCAGTAATCTGTAACATCTCTGCATTCCACACTCTGTTCTGGGACCATGAGTCATAAATGTAATTCCTCTAACTTTGTCGTCCTTTCTGTTGTGGATGAAACAAAGGTGCAAAATAACTTGGCAAGTTAGTAGCTTGATTGACATACATCACTAAGTTGCTCTGTTGCATTCTTGTAGCAGAGCTAAAACAGGTTTGATCACTATCTTGTTTGTTCATCACTGCATTGGTCACATGGAGGTAACTCAAGTGCATTCAGGCTACTTGTACAAGTCATTTGGAACCAGTATGAGAGCCACATCTTTGGTTTATGAAATGGTACTTCACAGTCACTATTGTGACAAAATTAGGAGTTAAAATCCGTTGTGTTTGGGTGGAAAAAATTATTGGTAGCCTCTTTCTTAAACTGTAGTTTACAATGCAAACATGTATTCTTCAAATTGGATAATCCTTTACTTTGCATTGCATCTTTCTTTTAACTTTAAATCTCTATTTGATCAACTTATTTCCACCAACATCATGACTTGGAAGGCAAGGGGATTATTCCAATTAAGTCAGTTTTTGCTTTGACTCCAGGGGTAATCTGCCTACTATTAATTTACTGCTAGCAAAATGGAATATTACTTACAACTCAGAAGATATATATTTAATTTTCATAACTTAAATGTCTAAGACAACCGGTACACATTTTTAACAGCTGAACTTCTATGCTGTAGCTTTCTGTACTGTAGTTGTAGCAACTTCTTCTATTTGCACCTTTTGGTGATAAATGTGCCACATCTCCTAATACTCTTTGATGCTATGTTTTGGATTTAGGCAGAGCACGTTCACCAGCAGCCAGGCAGACATGAGTGGCCTGGAAAAGTCCCCTCCTGTGAGCGGTAAGCCCACCCACTCCAGGAACAGTAGCCACTCATCCCGCCACTCCCACCAGGTAAGGACCACAGTTTTGTGGTGGTAAATTCAACCAGGGAAATGAATCCTGCTTTCCTTATCACTCTTGTATCTTATGTTACTTCAGCATTAGTTCAAATACAAGAACTCGTGGCCATAGGTGGAAATTAGCGGGAGAACATTTCAAACTGGATTTAAGGAAGCACTTCTTTAACAGCGTGTAGTCAGAGTATGGAATAGTCTTCCTGATAACATAGTGCAAGCTGAATCCTTGGGTTCCTTTAAATCAGAGCTAGATAAGATTTTAACAACTCTGAGCTATTAGTTAAGTTCTCCCCAAGCGAGCTCGATGGGCCAAATGGCCTCCTCTCGTTTGTATAGTTCTTATGTTTTCTATGCCTTTTTATTTCCCAGTGTAAGTTTCACTTTCATATGAAACAGTTGTCACTGTACTGCTCTTGGTTAGATTTGTATTGGAAAATGTTATGTTGAATTTAGTCATTGAGGTTGTGTGTAGGTGTGGTGTTTTGAGAGGTGTGCGAATGCAGCGTCTAAAGCTCTCCTTATGTAGTGACTGGCATACAGTATGTCCACAATTTTCTGACTAAAGGGAATGTGTGTGTGTGTGCCCGTTGACTTAACTAATCTTTATTACATTTTTTTAGCATGCATTTAGTATAAAATGCAATTAAAACTGCTAACCATATTATAAATACTGGTTAGTAAACCCTATTTGCTAAACGAGTTACATTTTTAACGATGGGTAGCAATGTGGCAGTTTTTCAATAAGCAGATATTGGAGCATCGGCGCAGCCAATGTAATAACTGCCACTAACGTGAATATTTCTGTTCTTAATGCAATAAAAGTTAACTTGCCAATAAAATGTGAATCAAAAACATATTACATTATGCACAAAAAGTTATTACATTACTGGCTGCTGCAAGCCATTCATATAAAGGTGAGCTGGCTTTAAGGCTAACTGAGGCTTCCTTCACAGAACTCTCGCCATTGGGAAGTAGTGGAGGATATTGCAAGTGTGAGTGCAGGGGTGGAGTCTTTGCACGATGTGACTATTCCAGGCTTGTGTGAGGGTTTCCTCATGAAGAAGAAGAAGTGGCCCCTCACTGGCTGGCATAAGGTGGGCGCTGTGGTGCGGCAGACAAAACACACATTTGGTAGCTGTGCTGTGTGCTTGAGCTCATTTGATTTCATTTCAGAGGTATTTTGTGTTGGAGCAAGGGATCCTTCGATATGCCAAAACTCAACAAGATGTAAGTACTTAAATGTTGCCAAATTCTCCCCATAATTTGATCTATGGGCTATTTTTATCATTTGGCATTCATTATGTTCAATATTTACATGCTGTCTCTGCCTCCTCAAAAACTGAGTCTCCTACCTTTTCCCCAGATTTGTAAAGGGAAGCTGCATGGCTCTTTAGATGTCAGCCTAGCAGTGATGTCTGTGAACAAGAAATCCAAACGGATTGACTTGGATGCAGGGGATAATCTGTATCACATGAAGGTATTCTATTTATTAAGAAGTTAATCATCTTGGTGCCTTTTGAGGGAAAGGGTCTTGTTTTCCAAATTGCATTGTATGATGTTCAGATGAACTGGTCTAAAATTTGGGTTTTGATGTACTTGCAAGTATGTTTGCTTTAAATATGCGATTCTGAAAAATGTACTTAAATGTGAGACAGGTTATTGTGGGACACTTCCTATGTAGATTTGCATATGAAATATCAGGGTTGTAACAGTGTAGGATTTTAAACTCTATCCTTTGCCCACAGGCAAAAAGCCATGAAATCTTTTATATTTGGGTGACCAAGCTTTGTGCTCATCGAATTTTCAAAAAGAATGAAGCTGTGCGTATGCACCATGGCGTGCTGCGGGCTCTCTCAGTAGGTAGTAGTGGTCTCCCAACAATAGCTTGCCTTGCCCATCGAAACCAGGCCCTGCCAGATATGGTGAGTCTATATTTTTTAAAAAGGTGTATGGTCTCCCTTTAATAAGCTATGTTGTGTAACACCTTCCTTTGCCTTTTCCTGCTCAGTACCAGGGCAGCACATCTGGAGAAGCACCCCTTAAAGAAGACTATCCAACGGACCTAACCAGCAAAGTGTCATCCTGGCTGGAACAGAATCATGAAGTTGGCTACTGCACTCAGGGTACTAGAACCGCAGATTTTGTTTTTTAAGCTTAACTACATTTTTGTGTGGTGTCTAGCTGGTTCCTGGGTTAAGGTTGACCTTGTATTTCAGTTCTCCCATGTTGAATTTCAAATTGGACTCAAACAAGCATGTGAACTCTACTCCCGCAGAGCTCACTCAGTGTCAGCTGGACTTGGTGGAGCTGAACCAGTTGGTCCAAAAGTTAAATCTTCTGCAGTCCTGGCCTGTTACTGACAATGACTTAGAACGTCGCATTAGTATGCAGGTGAGCTTACTGGAGTCTGGCACTGACCCTGATTGGGAATATCTGACAACCATTTTCATCCATCCATTTTCCAGCTACTTATCTTGCACAGGGTATTGCAGACAAGGGATGTAAGGCAGGGTTACACCAGGGATGATAAACTTGTACACTTCAGAGCACATAATGACCCATAATGTGTGATTGTGTCCCATAATGCACACACAATCATGCAAATTTATTTTTTTTTATTTAATCTCAATTAGGAATTTTAAGAGCCATCCATTGGGCTGCATTTGCTATATAATGTGTGGTTCTAAAAATCTTTTTGGTGCTTGCATTTGGGTCTAGTTGCCACCTGTCCTGTATCGAAAAAGTAAAATACTGTCTCCCGTTTTGAGCCAATATGGGATGTGATTTGTCCTGTATTTTGCAATTAGCCCCCCCCAGCTCAGGAACTCAGGGAAAGCATCCCATATTTTAGATTTAAATTTCTGTTGTCTGTGGCTGTAAGCACTTGCATTCTGTGTGTTCTGCTGGATAGCAGTGCTTCAAGTGGTGAAATGGGTTTGCAGTATTTTCAGTTTTGTTTGGCACTAGTTTTCAGCAGAGTTTCACACACAGCACAAGTCTATTGTGCTTGACATTACATTGCAAAGGCACCACCACACCAACATCTCTCTCGCCTTGTTTATCCACAGATCTCCTTTTTTAAATGCCAAAGTGGCTGCTGAGCTTTCACTTTCTTTGCTGACGCTAGTAGTTTCCTCTGAGGGAGTCTCGCTGTGGTATCACTAAAACAATAGCATGTGGTGCTCCGCTAACTCAACCTTGCAGTACGTTAATTGGCAGCATTTAAGTGAGCACACACTGTCCATTAGGTGTTGCCAGGGCCGCATTAAGTGCCCCTGGGTAACAGCATTAATGTTATACCAGAAAGAAATGGAGCTAATCGGTGGCTCACAGAATTCAGAAACACAATCTAGTGTTTGTTTGTCAATAAGTGCCAAATGAAAAGGACAATATGTAATCGAATACACTGACCATTAAATCGCATTGAATTGTTAGACATTCATGAATGGGACCCGGAGGGTGGGGTTATGGGGGGGGGGTTGCTGTGCTAGGTGTCCCTGGGCACATACCCAAATGGCCATATGGTTAATCCATGCGAGGGTATTGCTATGGTGCCAAAAGGCTAGCATGCAAATCATTTTTTCAGTGTGTCAACGATTAGTTTTTACGATTCTTGTGTCCCCAACCCCCCGGATTGCAACCCATCCCGCAATGGGGTCATAACCCCCAGGGTAAAAACCATTGATCAGCTGATCTTGAATTATATGGAATTGATTTGGTTTGTTTTAGGCCTGGTTGATGTTTGCTGCATCTCATTTCAGAATCTTACTCTAGAGAAGCCCAAGAAGAAATCTGGCAAGATTTGGGGCCACACTCGCACCCTGTCTGGAGTAGAGGCAAGTCTCCACATAATTGGGTACTGTTAAATCAGGGGTCTCCACCCTTGTTTACAGTGAGAGCTACTTAAAGAAAATAATCTGAGGAGGTACGTGTTTTGATACAAAATTAGCCAGGGCTGGCAGCAATGATCAAGTGTCCTTCCATGCATGTCTACTTTGCAGCATGCAAAAATAAAATATAAATTTTTTGTTTTTCTTACCAATGAAGGGCATTTTATCTACCCTGGATCGTTCTCCTCAGTGTGTGTTAGTGTACATATATAATATACATACACACACCCATACATACATACATACATACATACATACATACATACATACATACATACATACATACATACATACATACATACAT